CAACATAATCTACACGATAATTTGAGTTTTTCAGTCAGGTCCCATAAGTAGAAAATCTTTTGTTCGTTAAATCGTTTGAAAATCTACGGCTCGCTAATTGATTAGCAGTAATTAATATAAATGCATTACAATACGACTGATTTGAATTTCAAAGACTAGCCTTTTTTTTAGACTATTTTGTTAATAGGTCAACATTAAAATAATTTATTATACAGTATGGCAAGCATTTGTTTTAATGAATCGCGCAATTTGACGAGGCATCATTTTTCCGTATTGCCCACGGGCAATACGCAATTTTTATTGCCCTGCGACGAGTATACCGAGTAAGTTTCAAACGGCAAAGATTTTCTAAAAGTCTTTCAAACTATTGAAAACTTAGAAAAATAAACCTAAAATTTAGAGAAGCAGAAACTGCTGTGGTTAAAGAACTTTCTCAATACGTTTCTGTTAGCAAAGTCAAAATTACAAGGTAAATTTTACAATGTTTATAAATCTCTAACTATATAGTCAGGAATAGTTGTGTTTTGACTATGTGAAAAGCTGCAAATTTTATTTGCAGATAGCCAGGAAGAATTTGACACCATCCTAAATAATAAATACAACTAAAGCAGCCACAGATTTATAATTTTTTCCTGAAAATTTCTGTTTTTTGTTAGGTAAAGAGAGCCATACTAAAATATTATTATGAGATGAAGCGAACTAAAAAGTACTTGTTCATAGTATTTATTAATTTTATTGTTTTCATATTTGTTGTCTTTGATTAAATGACGAAATACCTCTATTTCTCTTGAAATACTATCCAAATTGTGTTATTCTATATAAAAAGTGTTGTAGAGACAGCATGTTTACTAACCAAGAGAACATTTTTTACAATTGTTTTTTTTTTTGCAAATGTTTCGGACATCGTGCTTTGACCTTGCGTGACCTTTTACAATACAATATACAATATACAATGCCATATAATAAAAAACTTACTAATCTGAACCGTTCGTGCAGTATGGGGAAATATCCAACCTCGGTCTTGCTGTATTGACCTCGCTATCGCTCGGTCAATACAGCAAGACCTCGGTTGGATTTTTTCCCGTACTGCCCTCACTCTAAGTCAGTAAGTTATTAATATGCACCCTGTCAATATTGCACAATGTTGCTTCTAACAACAGACAAACGACGGACATTCGTGTCCATCGTCACAGCACAATTCCTAAACTCACCAGCTTTCTCCTTAAAAAAATAACTTTAAAACGCTTCCAAAAATAACTAAATTGAAAGAGATTGTCGTATACAAAATTTCACTCCGCAATTGTTAATCCTTTGCAATACATGCAGGCACAGCGTAAAAAAACGGGCAAAATTCAGTGTTTAGGCCTGCGATCAGGCTTCATTCCAGTCACAGAAAAAGGGGGTGGTGTCTCTAGTGTATCCAAAAAGATGCATTTGGGGGATAGAGAGCCCATAGCAACAAAAAAAACTTCGCTAATAGTTGCTATGCAATATATATATATATATATATATGTTATTTACCTGCTGCGAGGTCCTGATGAGAAAAACTGTGCCCGAGGTCTTGAAAACAGCCCGAGCCCGAAGGGCGAGGGACGTTTTCAAGACCGAGGGCACAGTTTTTCTCATCCGGACCGACGCTGCCGGTAAATAACGTGTTTATTTTTTATCAGATGTAAAAGTTAAATTCATTAGAATTCCAGTGTTGCTTGCGAACTGATTTGAGATGCAGTGCAGTCGTGTATTTTCAAAGCGAGGCTGAATAAAATTGAAAAGTTGAGAGATATAAGGGACAGGTCATTATTTATGGAAGGGGAGGAAAAAGGGGCATATGGGTGAAATAAATGACTAGAAGGGGTTATTAAATTTTTTCAAGAAAATGATGTGGGGCTGTAATTAAATTTGAAGGAATTTGCTGATGTGAAATAGTCTGGATTTATCTTGTCTTGTGTGTGCTGTATGCAAATCAGTCTTCAGTAATTAAGGGTTGCAGACTAGTTAAATTGACAATGTATTATTTATATTACATCGGCTCTTGATGTGGTTAAATACGTTTAAATTAAGCAAGGTTAACAGTGGATGTATTATGCAGGCCACATCCGCTGAGGGGAGTCTGTGACGTCATATTAATCAAAGGGGTATCCCCATTTGATGAGTGAAAATGAAAATTGGTGGGGGGGGCAAAGAATAATATTCTAATATGCAGGGGGGTCATCATTAAATTTCTGCTTTTTTAGGGGGGGGCTTTCAATTTTAAAAATTTAGACAAGAAAAAATTCCCCTCCCCCCCTTCCATAAATAATGACCTAAAACACGAATACGAAAACTCGAGAAAACTGGCAAGAAACACACAAAAAGACGAATAGTTTCAGTAAAAATATACATGCGGTTTTCATAAATATGGTAGCAGAGACGATTTGGAATAAAACCTTTTATGCCTGCTGTTTTGGCTTTGACAAAATCAGTTGCTCCTGACAACGACAGGTTCATGTTCAGATCCGATCAAAAACACATAAAAATGAATCTGTTTTGATTTAATCAACGTTTTTCTACTAAAAAACAATGAAAAAGGTATGTTATTTTTATATTTTTGTATTTTTGCTTGTCGTTTCACGATAATATGCTTGAAAAAAAGTGTTAGTTAAACCTTCTTTTAAATGGGAAGACATTTATTTTACAATATCTGTTTCAACTGTAATTTTTTAGCTTTTAAGTGGCCGAATACATGAGCATTTAAAAAATATATAGTTTTCTCGACATAAGTTTTATACATGTCAAATAACTTTCCGACTTTCAGTCGCATTTCTATCAAAATATTGTCAATTCTAGTGAACATCGTGCTTAGTTTAAAGTCTTTACGGCTTGATGCAATTTATTTTCGTATTCTGACTATCGTTAGGCTGTGATTTTCAAACGTTTTTGGCAGATTTTTTCGTTTAAAAATTGTTTCACTCCTCGGTTTTTGGCGCCAAAACCAGAGCGGGCAGTTGCATTTCACAGCGGGCAGTTGCGTTTCAGAGCGGGCCGGATGCAAAAAACCGGCCCGCTCTGAAAGGCTCCTCAGCCAATCAGATTGCTTCATTTTCACTGATAAAAAATAAAATGACATCCTTCCAGAAAAATAGATATTTTGAAGAAACTGTTTCAAACAAGGACAAATAAAGTTCAGGGTGTGAAAATACAATGATCAAAGAAGTCAGAAAAACCAATAAAAGATCATAGAACATTTCCAACTTTTGACCAACATGTGTTAATTTATGCAGTGAACCAACGCGGTAGCTTTGGCAACAATATTATGCTCGTAAACTCAGTACGATTTCGTGTTGCCCCCTTTTATCTCACTTTTGAGCAGGCAGCGGAACTTCTATTTTGTCACGAGTATTCTTAGTTCTTAGAGCCCATTTTCCCAAACAAGTAGGTCTAAATCCTTAGTGTAGGCGAAGTGATACAGCACGGCGGCTGTGGCACATCTTCTATAACCAAGTTATCCTTCAGAACTTCCCTTCAAGGTTCCATCTCCTTACAGCACCAGACTTCGTATGTATTTTGTATATGTGTTATCACACAATGGCCGCATTTACACTTGTGAAATAGGATACAGGTGTGAAAAGTGTGGTTTGAGTGCCAGTTTGATGTGACTGATGCCGTATTCAAAATAGATCAGCCGGAGAATGTTAAAATAAATCTATGTTTATGCTCACCATGATATACCCAGGAATATAATTGTATTTCGATGTACATTGACAACCATGAGTGCTGGAAAATATACAAAATAATTATAAACAAATGTATAATGCGCGTCGTGATTAAGTCGCTTAAGGTGGCTCGCACCACGCTCGTGCCAGACTCTTGTTGATACGCGACATTTTCACGAAAATCGCTGTTTAGAGCCGCATATCTCGCGAATGAAAAGATAAAACCGAAAAATGTTAAAGAACCTATTAACTAACATTTTAGCCAATGCTCAAAAATAAAAATTGTGACATTAGCACTTTTAATTAAGATACACAGTTCCTGAGCTTTGAAAATAAGACGAAACAGGACTTAAAAGTTCAAAATTTAAGTTGTTTTCAAACTGTAAGCAATATGTTTTTCGAAATGTTGCAGTAATTTACTTTAAATCCGCGCGTGGCTCGGGGAAAAGGAATGTTTCGGCAAAATCCCTCACCAATGTCGTACACTAAATTATGCATATAATCACTAAAAGATAATGATATCGGTGGTCCGGTGCGGATATACAATCAGAGTAACATAAAAAACATGACTATACATATTTTAATCTATTTTTATTTAACATATCATGTTTAGAATGGGAGGAACTCTATTTTAATAGAGTGTGGCCCAAATGGAAGGATGGAATGCATAATGACATGAAGGAAAAGATCAAGGATATTGGTAAGTATGCAATCGCAGTCCGATAGAGAAAATAACGAATCACATTAGCAGACGAGTAGTCCTGTGTTTCTAAAATATTGAATAGCAGTCCTCTCTTTGTCTATCGTACATTGGTCCGGTTTCACACAAAATCAAGAGGATTTTGAAGAATGAAGCAGGTATAAAGGAAAAGGACAAAATGAATAAATCTCAGAAACCTGGTGTATACCAAATTCCTTGTGAATGTGGTCTGGTTTACATTGGTGAAACCGATCGAAATCTCTCATGCAATACGTCTTATAGAAGATAAGATGAATTGGGAGAAAGCCGAGCTAGATAAATCTGCTGTGGCTAAACATACTTGGACTTACGACCATCATATAGAATGGAACGAAGCAACCATTTTGGTGATGGATAGTAATAAGCTCTCTCGCAAAATGGGAGAGTCAATTGAAATCGAGAAGCACAATTAATATTATAGATCAGGAGGGAAAGCCACCACATACTACGTGGCGAGGTGGCTCAATACAGTTTTTAAAAAATGGAAAATTCACGATGCCTATTTTTGGACAATTATTACTTGTTGATAAACAAAAGGTACCTGATTATATAAAACAACATCTAAAGAGTTTCAATTTTTGCACAAAAGTTGCGCAACTGCCGTTGCTATGGCAACAATGACGTTAAAGCTGGCGGATATTGTGGCTTTAAGTTTACAGGACACCCTTTTTGGCGTTTTGCGGAAAATCGCTACTGCGCACTCAGTATCAGTCCGATTTTCATCAAATTTTCACCAAATGTTCTCCAGTGCAGGCAAAATATGGTAAAATTGTAAAATTAACAAACAATAAAATAATGTAAGAATTATTCAGGAAAATCTTAAATTGCGGTACCTTTACGCTTTTGAGTTGTGCTCCTGCTGGTTTTAAGTTATATTAATGAAAATAACATTTTTACACAGTAAAATAGTTGTTCTAAAAAATTGTGTTCGGGATTTTTTGTTTATTTCGTCATTCCGCTGATATGGCGATTTCTTTGACGACTGCAATATATTTCTGAATTGTTTGAGTGAATTGCTCTTTATTTTTAAAATATCGAAAATTAAAAAAAGCCGAACACAATTTTGAAACTGACGTATTTAGCTATGTCCTGTAAAAATTTTGGAAAAATTGGTTAAAACCCGCAGGAGCACAACTCGTTTGAAAATCAGTAATTACCGTAAAATTTTTCGGGAGAAAATTGAATTTGAATATTACATTTTCAATGTTTTTCTTACTGCAGCGAAATGTATTTTACTAAATAACTCTGCGAGTTTTCAACATTTTTCGTTCAAACTTGGTCAGATAGTAGAATAAGTCTAATGCTTTCATTGCAACCAATAAAAAAATTTTAGGCAAAAATAACACTCAAAGGTGTTCTGTAAACTTAAAGTCATTTAATTCGTAAACGACATCGATGACACCCAAATTTTATTTAAAAAATGATTTCTCTTAGTATACCTACTAGAAATACATGCATTAAAAACACTATTAGAGATAGGGTTAACCTAACTAACGCGCCAACCGACTGCGAGATATGAATCTATAAATAGGGCAGGACCAGTATAACATTATTGTTATTTATAATATAACCTATGTAAACTATATTTAGGCACATACTACGCTCAAACAACCAAAATTGTCACTGACCAATTTAAAACGTGGTTGAACAATACAACTACCATTGATGAAGAAATCAAGGTGTGGGAAAAGTGGAATAACATTTGGAGACAGTTTACATTGGAAAGTTTTCTTAAAAGCAATATTGATGTAATTAAAGCAAAGGTTCCTGAAGAAAGTCGACGAGATTTAGATGTTGACACCCTTGCTAAGCTGTTGCCATGGTCCAACGATGCAGTGCGAGGTTATGCTGTATTTACCTATATTCCATTCCTTGATAATTCTTTTACGAAGTATCTTCGTGTTCGTCTCGATCACTGTTTTTCACCTGATATGCATTGCTTGGTGGGTGGTATGCACAGTTTCGCTGATAGTTTCTTTTCTGATGACGTGTTGAAAACAGACGACCTCGTAAAGCACGCGCAAGTCTTCAAGTTGTCTTATTATTCCGTACCTTCGCGCCCCAACGATGACTGGGTCAAGGTATCTTCCTACGTGAAGAGTGATCAATCTATACCAGACAATACATATACAGCACGGGTAAGTTTATTGAATTGCAATAGTTTCAACTTAGAAACGATTTTCCGTGTTTTTTTTTTGTTCGTCCGAAATTGCTCGCATGTTTCTATATAACAGCACCCAAAGACGAAAAATGTTTTTTCTTATTTAACTATAAAGTATAGGTGAGGCTAACTTCATATAAACAAGTTAACCCCTTTAATGTGATTTGGTATCCAAGGGGGGCAGGTAAAATTAAAAATTACGAAGCTAAGCCTGAGAATATCAATTTAAATTGACATAACTAAAGCCTGGTTAACATATGCCTGCGGTATGCCTGCGACTGTATCATTATGCCTCAACTTGCCGCCGAAATACCGAGAAAGTCAACTTTCCCGGCCTACCGCCGATGTAACTGTGGCACTTGAGGCAATCGGCGAACAAATATTCACGTAATTTACGTTTTAAGCTACCACCGGCATCGTCGCCGGTACGTTGCAGGCACGTCGCAGGCATATATGTGAACCAGGCTTGAGTGTCATAAAACACATAGCCTGCGTGGCAGGCGGTATTTCTACAGGCAGCGAAAATTTTGAATTACCCGTCCGCTGGTGAACGGAAAAGACGGATTGGTTAGTATTTTTATGTAGTTGTCAATCAACGGCTAAATTCGGTTAAATGTTAATCATTAACCAAATTTTTTGACGTTTTGAAACTCTGCGTTTTGAAATTAGTCACGTCAAGTCTACCCTGGAGCCAGAGGGATTTATTTTCGCCTGTTTTGAATAACCCTCTGGTGAAATTGGCGTAGTTTTCGGGTTCACATTCCACACATAACTTTCAAAAATGGAAGGAAAGAGTTGATTGGCTGCTCACTATAGGTTCGATAGACTACGTGTTCTGATTGGATATTGTAAATATCATAGCCTGTTCGCAGGCGTTTCATGTTTTGATTGAATTGAAATTATTTGAATTTTGGAATGTCTATAGTTAATAATAAATAAACGAACAAAAGTTGAAAGAAGCAGTTTTATAGGCTGCATTAATAGATAGATTGATAAATTTCCTGAATTAAAAGTTTAACGGAGCATCAATACCGCGCCTTGTCCAATTTGATTCACATTAAAGATGTATTTGCATCTTGCTATCGGTTATGGGAAGAGTTTAATATTCCAAACGACCAAAGTTCTAACACCGAGAGTAGCACGACGACACAGTATATGAAAACTACAGTAGGGCCACTCAGTGTAAAAAAGTGTCCACATTGTTTACTGGCTGCCAACCTAATTTACATATTGGCAGCCAGTAAATGGCAGCAGTTCACTATAAAATTGTATTACAGAGTAATGAGTTTGGCCGCATAAAACACCTGGGACCTAGCTTAAATAATTCCCACTTTTCTCTCCCCTAAGTAGCCCTACTGGTTGTCTC